AAAAAAAAAAAAAAGAAAAAAAGAAATTGGTTTCATTTTATTACTGGAATGTTTATGGATTGCTGTAGTAGCCATACAGTCTCTCTTCTCTTGCACAAAAGTAAGCGCATAGTCCTGACATTCCTTTATTATTTGTGTTAATTTCTTATGTAGTTGTTACTATATATCGTTTTTATTTTTCCTATAAGCTGCTGTTATGTCGATATGGCTTGACTGCCTACTGTCAGCTTATTCGCATACCACTGGTCATTAAATTAGAATTATATTTTGCATATGTTGATGAGCTTTGCCCAATCAAGGTTTATTATTAATTAGGGAGTTGTTTACCCTGCCAATATTTATGTTCAGAGACTGTAGATGAATTCCTTAATATTCAGTTTATCAGATTAAAATCTGTCTAAGATTATGGACGCTTGCTTGACTAAGATTAGCTAGAGAAAGTAACCAACTTAAGTTTCTTGGGTTTGTACTTCCTCTTCGTACTTTGCAAGAACTGGTAGTCTGGTATTACTCAAGGCAGCTTTTTATGACCTTGCAACACATTCTTCCCAAATGCATTATTTTTATATAGCATTTCGGTCATAATTGATTGTTTCGATAGTTTCTTCAGCCTGTGCAACATTTTATATTATTTGCTTTTATGAATTGCTTTTGAATTTTGTCATGATGGTTACTTGTATAGGTGAACTATTGACAACCAAAGAAACAAGAAGACGGCAAAAAATCTATGATGAACGTGCATCATGTTATGGAATATCTTCTGCTCTCTTAGTTGTCAGGGAGCATCTTCCATCTGGAAAGGCATGTTTGAGGATGAATATTGATGCCACAAGAGTCGGAAACGTTGCACGATTCATCAACCATTCTTGTGATGGTGGTAATCTGTCAACAATACTGGTGAGAAGCTCGGGAGCTTTCCTACCTCGTCTTTGTTTCTTCTCCTCCAAATACATAAAAGAAGGTGAAGAGCTCACCTTTAGCTATGGAGAAATCAGGGTCAGGTCCGAGGGCTTACCATGTTTCTGCGGGAGCTCTTGTTGTTTTGGGATTTTACCATCCGAACATACTTGATCATGTTGCAAATTAAGAGTGGACTGAGAGAGCATTGCAGTTTGTAACTCCTTGCTTTTTAATTGCAGAATGAAACCGCTAGTCGATTACAGCATTAGCTTAATTTTTTAGTCATTTTGAATTGAATTTAGCTGCAATTACCAGATTTCACTTTTCTAGTGTCAAACTTCAATTGCTTTTAACATGATTCTCTGTTCATTATTATTACTATTTTTCTTTTTTGAAAAAAAGAGGAATAAATCTTCATGACATTGATATTAGCGAACACCCCCATTTCTTCACTAGGGTTAATAAATATGTGACTAACCATTAATGGGTTATTTAATGGTTAATTAGGATTTTTGGATGTATTATTTAAGAGGTTTTAAGTTTGATTCACCTGAGTTGATGAGTTGTTAAGAGGATTTAACTAGCTGTCAACTTTAGGGTATTGAGAGTTAGTTAAAGTGCATGCAAATCGATCTGATTTACCTGGGTTGTTAAAGAGATTTATACGATTGTCAATTTTAAGGCCTTAGGGGATTAATTGAAGTATATGCAAACCAGTTTGGATACTTAAAAAAAAAGTGACAAAAAGACATTGCATCATATAACATAATCTTAAGAGAATAAAGACATATAGATTGTGTAATTGATTAAATATTAGTATGAGAAATATGCACGTCTGGTTTTTGGTTAGCATCCCCAACGCCACGGGAAGCACAAATCTTGTGCATTCTCATCAACACAACCCACACTTCTTCGTTCAACAACTTTCACATTATTACCAGATTTGGTCACTTTTCTAGTGCCAAACTTCAATTGCTTTTAACATGATTCTCTGTTCATTATTATTACTATTTTTCTTTTTTGAAAAATGACGAATAAATCTTCATGACATTGCTATTAGCGAACACCCCCATTTCTTCACTAGGGTTAATAAATATGTGACTAACCATTAATAGGTTGTTTAATGGTTAATTAGGAATTTTGGATGTATTATTTAAGAGGTTTTGAGTTTGATTCACCTGAGTTGATGAGTTGTTAAGAGGATTTAATTAGCTGTCAGCTTTAGGGTATTGAGAGATTAGTTAAAGTGTATCCAAGTCGATCTAGACACTTTCAGTTACCAAGATTTACCTGGGTTGTTAAAGAGATTTATCCGATTGTCGATTTTAAGGTCTTGTGGGATTAATTGAAGTATATTCAAGTCAGTTTGGATACTTAAAAAAAAAAAAGTGACAAAAAGACATTGCATCATATAACATAATCTTAAGAGAATAACGACATATAGGTTGTGTAATTGGTTAAATATTAGTATGAGAAATATGCACGTCTGGTTTTTGGTTAGCATCCCACACGCCACGGCCCACGGGAAGCACAAATCTTGTGCATTCTCATCAACACAACCCACACTTCTTCGTTCAACAACTTTCACATTATTATATTTACTTTCTCTTAATTAACCTAATTATTTAATTAAACCCACCAACACTTCCTTTCCACGTGCCCCCCTCTCTCTCTTCACAGACTCTTCCCATTTCCCTCCCTCTCTCACCAACCAAACCATTATGTATTTACACCCTAAATTATGCTTTTTAATAAAAACAAAAATATTTAACTTTACATATTTGATAGTATGGACAGAATGTCTAAACCTTAATTACATATATAAAGTGTCACATGAATAATTATGCACCAATTTATAAAATACAAAAATACCATATCTCTACATGTGTATATACATAATACAATAATACTTGTTTCTCCTGGAAAGAAAACAAAGAAGCTTCCCACATTCATTTTGCTACCTTATCACGAGACTAACGTGCTTCCTTTCCTTAATTTTTCACATATAACCACCAACTCCACCACCCTTCTGTTTTGCTCTCTCCTTTCCGCCCAAATGGCCGATTCCGAATCCCGACGTCGAGGCTCCAGTAAGCGTTCCTCATCTGTTACATTACCCGGGACAGTCTCATCGCCATCACTATCATCATCATCATCACCACCACCAGTACCTTCAGCACCATGTGGTGCATGCAAATTCCTGAGGAGAAAATGTGTTAGTGGCTGTATTTTTGCACCCTACTTTGGCACTGACCAAGGAGCTGCCCGGTTTGCCGCAGTGCACAAAGTGTTTGGTGCTAGTAATGTGTCCAAGCTCTTGTTACACATTCCGGTGAACCGCCGCCACGATGCTGTAGTTACTATATCTTATGAGGCTCAGGCACGCCTCTCTGATCCTGTTTACGGCTGTGTCTCCACCATACTTGCCTTACAGCAACAGGCAATATTTTTTAACCATTTATAAACCATAAATTAAGTTATATTTTTCAATATTCATTTAATGCATTATACTATATATATGAAAATTCGATTTTCTTCATCTCATGGATGGTAACTTAATAAAAATCGGCTATTAAAACTATCTATGAATCTTTATAATAATTAACTTAATTGATCATTTTTTAATGCTAATATATATAGTGATTTGCAGGTGGGATCTCTGCAGGCTGAGCTATCAATGGTGCAAGGTCAACTGCTAAACAGCCGTTTCACCATGGCGAATGCCCTACAAAATTCCCCCCACCACCACCAGCAGCCGCAGCCTCATGTGGGGGTGATGCAGCCCGCCTACTCAAACAGCTCCTCAGTCTCTACCAACTTCATCAATATGAGCAACTTCGCCTCCAACTTCGACCTTGTAGCTGAGACTGCAATGTCAGTGCCATCTTCTCAGAGCATGGATCCCCTCCATGACCTTTCGCGGCCCGCCCTGGATGATGAAGAAGATGAAGAAGAGAGCCAGATTCCTTTCATGTTTACTAATGAGGAGATAATTCGTGGCAGGAGATAAATAAAACTTTATGATTTAGGTTTCTTGGTATTTTTGTTTGTCCAAATAATTGATACTGGTGGTGTTGAGGCTTTGCGAGATGGATGCTATAGGTTAATAATAGAATTATTATATGTTATTTTCTCATTTCTTAGAGTAAACATACATTATATTAAATGATTTTTTGCTAATTTAAAGATGGGGATCTGAAAATTATGAAACCAGGGGTGGGAACTTGTAGATTTACGAAACCTTGGGTGGGAGGATGCCGTTTACTCTATAAATTAATGAACTGGTATATGCGACATTAGAAATTAATGAACAATAAATAAATAAGAATATAAAAATTCTTTTCTTAGAATTTACAAAAAGAATATTAAGATTGTTCAAGTTGGTAATAACCTTTTGCAGTTTATAAATAATCAGGCATATTTGATGCGCGATATTGTTTAATATAGTATTTTAATGTGTAATATTACATTGTAGTAGGTAGTACTATATAATATAATACCAAATATAAGGGTGTGTTTGGTGTACTTATTGTATAAAATACACTTATATTTAATTTGTTACATTTTATTAATTATATTTATCTAAATAAATCATTATATTGGTTTTATAAAAACAAGTTTTATTTCATTATAATAGTTTGAAAAAAATTAGCATATATAGTCATCCTTATGTAACTACTATGTGTTTTATATGTCAATAATAATTATATATAATTATTCAAAAAATGAGATAAAATTAAAGAGATATAATGAAATATAAACAAGGTGTAATTATTTTTCCCTAGTTTCTAGTTTATCTCGAATTTAATTTAACTTGAGCTTACGATAATCCTTAAAAGCACGATTATCATCAAATATAAATCAAATAATCTTTTAATTAAAACATTATAATAGTCATTTAGATTAATTTCAGATTTTATCTCCACATAATTCATTATATTCATATATTGTTGAAATATGTTAGTTCATTTATCTAGTTGTTTCCTTGTAAGATTTTATATATGTCTTTGGAAAAGTTAATTTAAAAAAGCAATACAACTATAATATGAATCATGTTAGGAATAGATACATGAATCCTATATTAATTTATAGATGTTGTGTGTGATTTTTCCATCAAGCTCAGAGAATTGCGAGGTTATAGCTTGATACAAAGTCAGTTCGACTCAATTGATTGTCAGACCCAACATAAACTCGTCGAGTTGTAGCTCGACCTAGCACACACTAGTCGCGACCAATCCCTACAGTTGTTCAACCAACTCATAGATAACTTCAGATCTCGAATATCTCGGAAGGGACCAGATCGACAACAATCTTGGCGCTATCGGAGTTGCTCAAACGCTAGAATATCAGAGTTGCATTTCAATCTTGATTGTAATCCCTTTATTTTCGCTCTTTCCTTTCTAGAAAATCTGTATATAAACCCCCTCCAACGATGAGAAATGGGTTAGCAAATTGTTCTAGGATTATTATTGTAAGCTCTCACGGTAAATACAAAAGTAGTGGATGTAGGCTCAAGAGTTTAACTTGCCGAACCACTTTAAAAATCTTTTGTGTCATTTACTTAATTGTTCTTGATTCATTACATTGTTGGTTACCCGTAATCATGCACACGTTAGTTTTGATTCTGTTAAGGTCAATCTGATCACTATAGTTGGTGAAAAATCTTGTATCAACATTTTGGCGCTAGAAGGAGGGCCTTCGCCAAAATCTCAGAATTTCCAGCTCAAAGCCCATAATGGTTCTTACAAGATTAAAAACCACTACCAGAAACCATGACAACGTGGAAACCACCTATTAGGAGGTGCATCAAGACACCGCCGAGCGTCGACCACCAGTGTTGTCAGGTGCAGGCCACAAACCAACAGCGAGCAGAGACGTTGAATCCCGAAAATGGTCAACTGGTAGAGATGATCATAACAATGGTTGCACAGGCAGTGCAAGAAAATGTGGTTGAATTGAGAAACCATTAATCGGCCCCTCAAGAGCTTGATCGGCCATGCTTTACTGATGTTACACCAACGGGTCAGAATTCAGCCGGCAACCAATCTAGTTCGTCAGCACCGAGGAATGGTTGAAAATCCTAACATTGTCAGGCACATTCTGCTCATGAACGAGAATCCTGCAGGCAAACTAACCCGAGGAGGCGACCATGCAAAGACCCCATGAGGGAAGATGAAGGCAATGGTCGCCAGAAGGATACTCGACCTACTCAAAGATATCCCTAACGTCAACGTGCTGCTTTTAACCTACGCCAAAGGCATGCTCAAACCTTGCAAGTTTGCAAGATGAGTAATGTGCGCCAATGTGGCAATGTTCGACATTCCGATTATAACCAACGTTGCAAGCAACGCACTGATGAGCATGATAACACTTACCAGCCAAGCCATCATGACTCAACTTTGCACATCAATACGCACGATAGAGGGGCCTCACAAGCAATAGACTTATGAACTCATCTGCTCGAGGTAAGGCTGAATAGAGTCAGCCAGGGCAATCTCACGAAGACTTAGAGCAAGTGCAGAGAATGCTTAACGATTTAAGAGCCCACCAGAAAAATGTGGCCGAAGAGATAGTGAGCACTCCATTCACATAAGAAGTTTGCCAAGCCTCTCTTCCCTAGGGATTCAGGGTGCCAAAAAGCAAGTTTGATGGGAAGGGAGATCCTAGAGACCACCTTGACACTTTCAACGACCTGATGGAGCTACACCAAGTCTATGACTTGGCAAAATGCTACTCCTTTGCAGTCACATTGGTAGGGGATGCCAAAAGGTTGTACAAGAGGCTCAAGGTGAACTCAATTAGTTCTTGGCAATAATTCTCCTTGTTGTACCTACAACAATTCCAAGCGAGGAGACAGTTCACAATGTTGCTTAGCTACCTGAGCAATATTCGTCAGGAGAAAGACAAAAAACTGACCTTGTATCTAATGAGGTTCTAGAATGAGAAGGCAAAGGTCATGGACGCAATTGGACTTTGCTCATTGTGGGTATCAAGTCGTAAATGGAGCTGTGGAAAGAGCTTCAAAGTGAAGACTATGTGAGCCTGGAAAAGTTCTATCAAATGGTTGCTAAACATTAGCAAGTGGAAAGCTCGCTAGAGCCCTAGCCGGAAGCTCGCCACAAAGAGCCTTGGGTAGGCGGCAAGATCGCCCAGCAAATAAACGAAAGGGCCAAGACTGTAATGATAGGGAGTGGAACAAGTTCCAAAAAAGGCAAAAAATAGAAAATCGCGGCAAAAGGCAACCTTTTCCGCGATATGCAGAATGCACCCCCCTAACTCAAGATATAGCTCATATATATGAAGTCTCCCACAAAGGCTAAAAGATTGCCTGCTCCAGAAAGGATGAAGGGGCTTCGAGTAGAAGAGATCGACAGAAATATTGTCGATATCATCGGGACATTAGGCACAACACCAATGAGTGCTGGGCTTTAAAGGATGTCATCGAAAATCTAATCCGAAGGGGCTACCTAAAAGAATTTGTTAAAGAGGCGCTAACTCGCAAAAATATAGGCAAGCAGAATAATCAGGTCTAGCAAGCCTTGTACAACAATGAGGCCCGATAGGCATGTCCTAGAGGGTTTCAACATTGTAGGGAGCTCGATGCACTCTCGCAAATATGCGTAAGAGGCCAAGACAGACTTGGTCCCCCAAGTAATAAGCTGTGAATAGAAGTTGCCAAAATGGCCCAAGCAAGAGAGCGAGGTGATAGAATTTACTGTGGATAAGTATAAAGAATCTCCTCACCATAACTATGATGTGATCGTAATCACAGCAATGCTCAAGTACTGAGGGTGATGGTCAATAATGGCAATGCAACGAACACTATTTTCTTGGGAGCTTTCTGAGAAATGAGGTTCACAAAACGAGACTAAGGGTGTGTCCATTGCCGCTGTATGGATTCATTAAGAACAGCCTAGTCCCTAAGGGAACAATCGACCTACCCGTGACCTGGGGGAAGAACCCAAGATCAGGACAGTCATGGCATAATTCTCAGTGGTGGATTATCTGACTACTTACAATGTCATCCTTGGAAGACTGATCTTGGAGGATCTGAGTGTAGTCACCTCGGTATGTTGCCAAGCAATGACGTTCTTGACTCCAGGCGGGGTCGCAACAATCACGAGCTGCAGGAAAGAATCTCAAGAATGTTGCAACCACGTTATTCATGTTGCACTAAAATGGTCGCTCCCGAGAACCATGGTCATTGTAGAGTTTGAGCCAAACTTTGGACCTCTAGAGGACACCATAGATCCTCGCATGTATAAGGAAGAGCCCGCAGCAGGGCAACATAAGAGTTGGGAGAAGTATTTGTCAAGGAGGAAGACCCAACTGGCGTGCTAAAAATTGACAACTGTTTGAGCGATGAACTGGTCAACAATCTGGTGGGGTTTCTAAAGAAAAACCTCGACGTGTTCGCATAGGTATATGCAGATATGGTGGGATCAACCCCAAGATAACGTGCCACAAATTAAATGTCAAACCAACAGCTCGACCAATCTAACAGAAAAGAAAATTTATGGATGTAGAGCAGTCTAAAGCGCTCAAAGATGAAGTTGACAAGCTCCTAAACATCAACTTCATCAGGGAAGTGAAATATCAAGATTGGCTCACCAACCCAGTCTTGATGAAAAAGTCGAATGGCAAGTGACGGACTTGCATCAACTTCACAGATCTGAACAAAGCTTGTCTCAAAGACAGTTTTCCACTACCTTGGATTGACCAATTAGTAGATGCGATAGTCGGGAATGCACTACTCAACTTCATGGATGCATACTCGAGATATAATTAAATCCTGATGTATCAGCCTGTTGAAAAAAACATCTCATTTATTACTGACAAGGGTATTTACTGCTACAGGATAATTCCATTTGGCTTGAAAAACACTAGAGTGACCTACCAGCGTTTGGTGAACAAGATGTTCACTGAGCAAATTGGCAAAACAATGGAGGTGTACATCGATGACATGCTCGTCAAATCAAAGGTCGTCGAAAGCCACATTGAGCACTTGGG